GAGATCGTCGAAAGGCGTAGTGGAGTGTGCGAGAAGAGCCTTACTGCAACCACTGGCGCATTATCATCATCATCATCATCATCATCATCATCATCATCATCATCATCATCATCATCATCATCATCATCATAATCATCATCACCATCATCATCATCATCATCATCATCATCATCATGCTCAGCAGCAGAAGCAGCATCATCATCATCAGCATCATCATCACCACCATCATCATCATCATCATCATCATCATCATCATCATCATCATCATCATCATCAGCATCAGCATCAGCATCATCATCAGCATCATCATCATCATCTTCATCCTCATCCTCATCATCAGCATCATCATCATCACCATCGAATCATAATCACCATCATCAACATCATCAGCATCATCATTATCATCATTATCATCATCAACATCATCATCATCATCATCATCATCGTCATCAACATCAGCATCATCATCACCATCATCATCATTATCATCATCATCAGCATCATCATGCTCATCCTCATCCTCATCCTCATCATCATCATCATCATCAGCATCATCATCATCATCATCATCTTCATAAGCATCGTCATCATCATCACCATCATCATCATCAACCTCAGCATCATTATCATAATCATCATCATCCTCATCCTCATCATCCACATCCTCATCTTCATCCATCTTCATCCATCACCATTCATCATCATCGTCATCATCATCGTCATCATCATCATCATCATCAACATGATCAGCAGCATCATTATCATCAGCATCATCATCAGCATCATCATCAGCACCATCATCATAATCATCATCATCATCATCATCATGATGAGCATCATCATCATCATCATCATCATCATCATCATCATCAGCATCATCATCATCATCGTCAAAATCATCATCGTCATCATCGTCATCATCCGTCCTCATCCTCATCCTCGTCCTCATTATCCTCTTCCTCCTCATCCTAATCCTCGTCATTATCCTCATCATCATTATTATCATCATCAGCATCCTCATCCTTATCCTCATTATCATCCACATCCATCATCATCACCATCCATCCTCATCATTATCCTCATCATCCTCATCATCCTAATCATCATCACCATCCATATCCTCATCCTCATCCTCATCCTCATCCTCATCCTCATCATCATCGTCATCATCATCATCATCATCATCATCATCATCATCATCGTCATCATCATCATCATCCTCCTCCTCATCATCCTCATCTTCATCCTCATCCTCCTCATCCTCATCCTCATCCTCATCCTCCTCATCCTCCTCATCATCATACGCTGTCCCTGCACCCTGCTGCCTCTGGCACTTTCGGTGAGCGATTCGCTTGCGTAGCTTCGCTCCAGTACCTTCGCATTACATACCATGCCTCGTGACTTTCTTCCTCCACGCTACCAGCTATGCTTCCCATCTCATCTACAACAATACCCCTTCAGACGTCTCCTTGGACTTCTCCACCCCGCTGATCCCTTACGCGTGTGAAATTTATGGAACCCGCCCACCATACAATCCGCCGAGCCCAAAGGCTTTTGAGGTTCAACCTGCCGCTCCGGGAGGCGTGTGCGACATCCTTCTCAGCCTACACTCTGGCTCTGGATCGCAGTTTTTGGGACCACCCCCTCGGGAGGTCCCCATGCGGAAACATTCAGAATCTTCCGATTCGCCGCCCGATCCCATCGCTGGGACCCTGGGCGGCGAATCGGAAGATCACGGATGAAGCATTGACTTCGTCGCGCTTACTCCCATGTCCCCCCCCGCGGGGAAAGAGCGCAGGAGTGTCCCTTCCCCGACGTCTGGTTGAGACCCCCCCAGTTGAGATGGCCCAGGCCATATTTTGGGCAACCTGTGGCACAAACCAGGTGCATCGACTATTCGGCGCTAGCTGGCGCGGCACATGCACCCAACGTGGCCTTTGAGCCACCGGCGTTCCTCCGCGCGGCATTTCGGCTGTGTTGAGGTACACCCCAGCCAAGAGCCGTATAGGGGGCATATGGCCCCCCTGGACCAAGCGCAGGCAATACCATGGCACCTCTAGACCTTTGCGTATGCACGGCATACTCGTGTCTCCCGTGCTGTCTCTGCTACTCATGCGTGTGGGAGCTCGCGAACAAGAGAACCTAGCAGAGCCAAGCGGCGACTAAGAGATAAGCATGGGGACGCAGCGCACATGCACATTGCATAATCGACGCCTGGTGCGTGGTGTCGTTTTACTGCGTCGTGCCTTCTTGCGTAACAATACGAGAAGAAATGTGTGGTGCCGTTTTGTGGCGTCGTGTCTTCTTGCGGAATGCGGCGAAATACAGCTAGACACGACAGCTTGCACCATCTGCCGTCTTTTTCGTGCACTCACTCTGGCCGCTATGCTGGCTCTAATGCCACATCACCCTCATGCATCCCGCAACTCAGCCTCTGAGGGAAAGGCACAAAAAACGGAGCTCCACTATCCAAAGACGTCCGCGGCTGGCAAAGCCCCCCTCTCACCTGAAGCCGAAAAAGAAAACCTTTCCGGACAAAAACGGGAAGCGCCGCTTCTCTCAGCTCGCGCGCGCACTTGCGCACGGACTTGCACCCAACACCAATGTGCGCACATGGGATGTATAGCGTTGACAGAGAAGGAGGAGGAGGAGGAGGAGGAGGAGGAGGAGGAGGAGGGGAGGAGGAGGAGGAGGAGGAGGAGGAGAGGGGGAAGGAAGAGGAGGGGGAGGAGAAGGAGCAGGAGGAGGAGGAGGAGGAGGAGGAGAGGGGGAGGAGAAGACGGAGACGGAGGAGATGGAGGAGACCTCAGCGACGGAAGAGATCTCAGAGACGGAGTAGACCTCAGAGAACTCAGAGACCTCAGAAACCTTAGAGACGGAGGATACCCCAGAGACGGAGGAGACCTCAGAGGCGGAAGAGACCTCAGAGACGGAGGAGACGAGACCTCAGAGACGGAGGATACCTCAGAGACGGAGATCACCTTCTCGTTCCGACAAGGCGCTTCACGTGAGCCGCCAAGCAAAAAGTCAATTGCGACCGGCGACGTAGGTGTCCCTCGCGTCTGAGTTCTGAGTTAGTAAACAGAAAGCATGGCCTGGCAACCTCCCGACACCTTCTCGTTCCGAGAAAGCGCTTCCCGTGACCTCGGAAACGGAGGAGACCTCAGAGACGGGGGAGACCTCAGAGACGGAAGAGACCTCAGAGACTGAGGAGACCTCAAAGACGGAGGAAGCCTCAGAGAAGAGGACGGGGAGGAATGCAGGAATGCAGATGAAGGCCACATACACGGTGGCGGAGGCTAATCAGAGGAACCCTCGGTCCACACCGCTTTCCTGGGGGGGTCCCCGCTTGGGGGGTCTCCTCAAAACAACTTTCAGGCAAGGAGGAATACCTAAGGTATTCATCCAATTCAACAGGGCAGTGCACTCCCACCCTCTGAGGACTGACCGCGGAGGCCAGGGCCACCACCTGTGCGCTCGTGATGGCAGCAGGAGGCCCTCTGCAGGAGGGGAAGAGGCCCTTAGAAATTCGAGAGAAGTTCTCCTTGCCCTTATCAGTAGGCTTCTGACAGGGAGCAACCAGCCAGCGTGGGTCGACAGTGGCTGTGCAGCCGCACACTGAGCAGAACCTCGTGCCATACTTCTGCCATTCGTGCAAGGAGGGCTGCCATGCAGCCTCTGGCCTCTAACCTTGATCTCGCCCGCCAGGCGCAGGAACCCGACGCCCGCGAACCGCCCGGGAGGAGGGGCCAGGCCAGGAGAACGCACAGAGAGGGCTCGCCACTGTGGGCAGCAGACACAGCACCACACGGCGCCCCGCAAATCGGGGCCTCGGCACGCGCTCCACCAGAAGCGGGCACCGAACCAGCGAGAGGAGCCGCGCCCGCCGCGGCGACAGGGGGAACCGAGGACACGGCACCGCACGGCGAACCAGCAAACACCGCCAGGTCGGCTGAATTCACGAGCTCACGACAGCCTGCACAAAAAAACTTACCCTGGCTTAGCTTCTGTAAGCGGTGGGGGGTGCTGGCTAGGACAACAGACAGCTTGGACAACGGCTTGGCTCGGACCTTGGCTGAGCGATCCGCATTCCAAGGGGCTAAGACTAATGTATCGATCACCGCTCGCCTCGCACGCCGACGGACCAATGGGGGCTATAACATCATACATGTCCGTCTGCGGCACCGGCAGAGCAACAGCCATATCCCACCCCCGCTTCGCCACCCAACTCGCCCAGACGTCATCAACTGCGTTGCCCTGGGACAGGAAGCGTTGAAACGGGGACGAGATGTGCTCTGGCTCATGTTCGAGATGGGATGGGGTCGAGAGCACCTCCACCAAGCCAGGCCCGCGGCGATCAGCCGCCAGGCGGATCCTGACCCACAAATCGGGATTGCGCCCAGCGGGCCGCCAAGGACTGCCCCGCTCTCGAGCCGTCCACAACAGGCTTGAAATCACACGCGTAAGCTAAGCGGCCCTGGGTGTGTTCGAGGGCCAGGGCCAGGGCGAGCAGCTCAGCCCTGGGGACCGTCTGTACTGCTCCAGACAGGGGGGCAGCGAGTCCGCTCCTTGGGAACTACACTTCGGTCGGGGGGGGACCGCGTCGTCGCAAACGCGTTCCAGACACGCCGCGGCCGATCCACAGCGGCGCCCACGGCGGGCAGACGCGCATCCCCCCCCCCGCCCGCCCCCCAAAACATAAAGAGGGTGCCCTCCCAGTGGCGACGAGAGGTCCAGCAAGGGCACACCGCCCAAAAGGGATGGGGTCGGAGAACCCAGGAAGCTCCACAAACCGCGGCACAGTGAGCGAGGACGCATGGGGCCCCTCGCAGCCAAAGGGCAGGGTCGGAGTCGGCGCCCGCAAGGGCTGCAGTGATTAAAGAATCCGTGGAATTGCAATCATCGTGGCAACTGTTTGTTGGGCACCCCCAGACACGGTGATGCAACGTTTCGCGGCGCTGTTGGCAGCGAGGGCACAGCGGGCTCACGTCGTAGCCCGCCTCCACCGGAGACCACCGTCAGCGTCCCTCCCCATAAGTCCATGGAGCCCTTCTTCGCGAAGGAATTCAATTCAGCCTGTACCAGCTGCAGATCGGCACCGCCAGTGAGGGTCTCGCCGTGGGGGTGGGCAGCAGCCTTGCGCCATCCAAGCCGAGCAACGTCAGCTGAGAAAGCGGCGAGCAACTCATCAAAGTCGCCCAAGACAGCGCCCAGGAAGGCGTCGTCGCCAACGATAGGAAAAGACCAATCCTCCGCACCAGTGGGGCTGTGACGCCGCCAAGTGATAGCCGGGAGGGGTTCCCAACCCGCTGGGATAAGAGTAGCCTGCAGGGCTGCACAGGGGCCGCGCATGCCACGCCATGAGATATTGTCGCCCAGCTTGGCACGGACAATAGAACAGACACGCTTGATACGGGGACGGAGGGCAGGTTGCGCAAGCCATAGCCTGATCCATTCAATGGTCAGGGCTCGCCGCAGTTGTACTCCATGGTCGTCGATGCCGAGGGTCGCTTGCAGCGCCCTCGTTGGTGCCTGACAGTGGCAACAGCCGCCTGGCGGCGCAAGCGTAGCACCGTGGTAGGAGGGACCCCCATCACTTGGTGTCCGCAGGCGGCCGCAGGGTAGGATTCCGTCCGCCAAAGGCCTTGCGCAACCTTGTGGCTCCCATGCAGTCGGCGCAGCTTCTGGGTCTGGTTGGAACGCAACTTGGCACTTTTGAGCCGCATGCGGAACTTCTTCTGGCTCCTCGTAGCACCTGCAGCATCCCCGCCAAGATCCACCGCTGAACCAGTTAGTTTGGATGGAATGCCTTCTGCGGTGAGAGAGGAGATCAGCTCCTTCCCGGTGCCCGGAGAGCTCACAACCAATCTTGTCTTGTCTGAAACGGCGAGCCGTGCCTGCTGGAAGGAGGTGGCCAGGGATCCGGCAGCCTTTTGCATATCTCCGACAACCCTCATCTCGACTCCTTGATTGCGGCAGACAGCGCCATCAATAAATATCCAAAGCCCCTTGGTCGGGGACACAACGTGAGCCTTCTGCAGAAGCCCACGCAGGAAAACTTTAGCCATGTTCACACCTCGAGGCGACCCAGCAACGACCGACTTGCCCGCCTGGGAGGCCAGGCTGACATTGCGACCTTTCTTGAGCATCCTGGGGGAGGCGCACATGGCGACCTCCATCAATGTGACGATCGCAGGGTAGCCCAGGGAGCGGCTCGCCTGAATGAGGACGAAACTGATCGAGTCGCAGAACTTCTGCAGGTCCAGGAATAGCGCGGCACGCTGGATGCGGAGCTCGCTGGCGCACTCATCCATAACGACTCGCGCCAAAGCAGCACGTAGCGCCGAACTCCCAGCAATCGCAGTATCCCAGAATGCACCTTGCTTCTCAGACCATGCAGTCGAGGGCGCAGCGCGAATGCGGCTCCACAGCTTGAAGGGCAAGGGCAGCAAGCCCAGGACGCGGCAGCCGCCCGCCTCCTTGGGGATGGCGGCCCCCAGAGCCGTGGAGATGGTGGTCGGCCAAGCACCTCCACGCTCGGCCTTGTTGAGAATATCCACCAGCTGTCGTCGCGCAATATCGGGAAGGCGCTGCGCATCACGAGGGCCCAGCGCATCAATGCCTGGCGCTTTGCCAGGAGCCATGAGATTGAGTGCACAATCCAATTGGCCCAGGGTGATAACAGACAGCTCTTGGGCGTGAGCACCTGCCAGAAGCTGACCACGCCAGTCGCGAAAACCGGCCGAGCTGTCAACGCGCTCTGTCAAAATCTCGCCCCACTGCTCCCGATAGAGCCACATACATGCCCTGAGGATCGCCGACGGCGCGGCCTTGGGAGTCCAGCATCTAGTTCTCTGGGCCACCCTGTGGCTTGACATGGGCATGAGCCAGCCGCGGTTTCTCCTTCCACTACTTCTTGATCCAGGCCACGAAGTTGGACCTGGAGGCCATGGGGGCGCGACCCTGGGCCAAGTCGGCACATTTGCACGAACATTCCACGAACATCTGGAATCCCTCATCATCAAGGTGTTGCAGGGCTCCAGCATCCTGCACCCAATCCTGAGCAAGTTCCACTGGAATACGCTTGCAAACTGAGGAATCCTTCTGGCCCATGTCCAAGGTGGTGACGTGCTTGCGAAGGCGCTGGAGGCATTGGTCAAATTGAGCTGGATCCTTGCCGCAACGCAGGAGGGCCGAACATCGAGAGATCAGCGCGGTTGCTATGCCCCACCACTCAGCAAATTCATTGCGCATCTGAGTCCTGCCAGGAGCCGGCTTGAGCCTACGCCGACGAGTGACGGCGCCCGCTGCGCGGCCGATGTGGGTCTTCCATTCGGCCGCAGGCTTCTGTTCAGCTCGCAGGATGGCACCTTCCATGGTGCCGACCCAAATATCGTAGTCGTCAGTGATGCTCCCCCGAGCTTCCGAGGCCCATTCGAAGATGTGGGAATCCTTGAAAAGAACGAAGGCAGGCTTAGATTCCGCGGGCCGAGCTCGATGCGCACGCTCTCTGGCCAGAGAGGCCGCTGCAGCACGCCGAACTGCATCTGCGCGTGGGCCAAGTCCGCTGGCCGCGCCCGCGCGCAGGCAGCCGCTGTCGGCAGGCGCGGGCTCCGCCTCAGGCTCGCTGGCCTGCGCCCATACTTCATCCCAGGTGGAGTGCCGATCTGGGATACCCTGCCAAACACCAGCGAGGGGCAACGGCGGGGTGGCAGGCGCGATCTCCCAAGCAGGATTAGACCAAAGAGCAACACCTGGAACTGACAAAGGGCTGGGCAGTAAGAGTCTCGAGCAGGCCTTGGGCCAGCAGAGCGCACGCATCGAAATTGAAATAGTCATCCATAGTCGACCCACCGACGGAAGGTCACCGAGCGCGAATATCCAGCCCACCTCGCCGAGGCCCAGCTCCGCTGCAGACCTGGGGCCCCAGCTCCCCCGCGACCCCCACCGGAGCGGGCGCGGTCCTGCCAGGCCTGCCTCTCGCACTCGACGCCTCCGACGGCGACCTGGCAGGCGCCGCGGCAGCGGCCCAGCGGGCGGCGCCAGCAGCACGCCTGCCAGGCACCGAGCCAAACTCCTCCTCCGCTTCGGTCATGGAGCGCCCGCGGCGCGCCACCTGCCCCTCCCATTCCTGCGCGTCGGACTGGGCAAGCCTGCGCGCATTGACGTGGTAGTTGGCACGCGCGCGCCGCCTTGCGGCCCGCGCCCCCTCGCAAAAGTCCTGCGCCATCCTGAGTCTGGCCACGCCCATGTTGTCGATGCCTGCCACCCGAGCGGCCCTGGAGACGAATGGCGCCCACGCACCGCGCATCAGCAAGTCGGCCACGTAGGACACACGCAAGCGCAGCCAGTGCGCTCTATCTCCAGCTTCGCCAAGCATTGAAACGTCCTGGAGCCAGAACGTGGCGCAGGCCCCCAGCCCCCTCTCGAGCGCCATGCGCGCCGACGCGGCCGCTCGCCTCGCAGGGCCCTGGCCATCGGCCCCCGCGAACCCCCCGGCGACGCCGCGACCCGCAGCAGCTTCCCGCATCGAGGCGGGCCTGCCCCACTCGCCGTTTACCCCTTGGGTGCACCTGGGGGCAGGCTCCAGCAAGCAACTTGGCGACTGAGCCCAGCTCCTCTCGCTGTCTACCTCATGGGTGCACCTGGGAGCTGGGACTTGCGTTCTAACAGCAGAAGCCGCAGTGCACGTGGGCCCGCGGGGCAGCCCCCCGACCCCGCGTGCGTCTACCAGGGCACACATACCAGCACACGACGCCACAGACGAGGGGGTAGCCATAGGTGCAAAACATGTGAGTCCGCGGGGCACTCCCCCGACTCCGTGGGCCTCGCCCAGGGCGCGCATGCCAGCGCAGGATGTCGTAGCCGAGGGTGCTGCCGTAGGCGTAGTAGGGACAGTGCACAAAGGGCCCGCCAAGGCCGCAGCTGACTCCAGCCAGATCTCCATGCCCACCGCGAACGAAGGGGGACGCGTGCATCCTCCGCCTCGCCCTCCTGCAAGAGCTCGTCGAAGTGGGCAGAGCCCCCCCCCCCCCGTAGTTCAGGAGGAAGGCCCTCTTCTCGGCGAGCACGTCTAGCAGCCAGCACGCGCTCTCTTGCTGTTGGGGTCAGGCGCCTCGGGGGGATAGGGCTTTGAAGGCAGTTGGCTCGGTGTGGCGAGCTGCGTGCACCGCCGTTCTTGGCGGGGCCCCTCCACCTCAATGAGATGGGCGCAGTGCGTCTTCTAAGATACAGACAGCTCCGCCGAGACCTTCAATGCGGGGCAGTCAATGGACGCTACAACAGAATCGTTCATCCTGCCCTTGCCCTTGTTGCACGTGACCTTGCAGTCGGGCAATGCGAAGCGCCCTGTCAGTTGGCGCGACCATCCACTCTCGCGAAATCCCTCTGGCTCGACGCCCCGATCAGCCATGATCAACTAAGGGTCCGTGAGGGCACGGGCGAGGGCCGCCAGGGCGACCATGATGTCGTTGTTGAGGCCTCGGAACTGCAGCCCAGGCTCCGGATAAGCTGCAAAGGTCACAACGTTGCCCAGCTTCATGCGGTGAGTGAGCGGCGCAAAACCCTTGCACCGCATCGCGTTGCGCATCCTCTGGAAGGACGTGGTGGCGACATGGGGTCGGGAGAGCATCCACTCGCCTGCTGACAACCCAGCTTCAGAGCGACCCGAGGGCCGCGCTGCGGTGGCATGGAGCAGCCACCCGTCCTCGTGCAAGTCCACCTCGACCCTGTCCAAATCGGAAGCGCCTCTGTGGGTCTCGACCAGGCCGACGATCGAGGTCTTGAAGTGATGTTCCGCGATGCACCGCTGGGCCGTCCCCACTCGGTAATGTTAGCGAAGAAAAGACTCGTAGAGGTACTCGGCGGCGTCGGAGACGCCGACGCGGTGGGCGGCAGGGCGCCGCCGCTCGCCCGCTTAGAGGCAAGGGTGGCCAGCAGTAGCAGCCGCTGGGGCAGGCTGGAGAGCGACCGAGCCCGCAGCCGCCGCCATGGTCTTGGCCGCGCGGGCGCCCTCGACAAAGTGGGCGACGGCCGCCGCCCGCCGCTCCCTAGCCTCGGCGGAGAGCTCGACGCCGGGGCCCTTGCCTGCTCCCTTGGCAGGGGGCGGCGCCTGCAGGCGACTGGGCGGTGCCTTCGGCGTGGCCTGGCGGGGCCTCCTCCTCGACGCCTTGGGCCTCGCCCTCAGGTCCCTTGCGCTTCTTCTTGGGCGCCGACAGGGCCTTGCGAGCCTGCGCGAGGATGTCCTGGAACTGTTTCTCGCGACGCCTGGCCTCCCCCCTGACTGCAGCGAGCTGCGACTGGAACCTGCGCAGCTGCACCTGACCCCCCTCCTCAAACGCGCCCATGCGCTGGAAGAGGTCGGCGTCGACGCCGAAGGGCCCGGAGGCAGGCGGAAGCGGCGCCTCCCTGGCATTGACGGCCTCTTGGGCGCGGATGCGCTCCTGGTCCGCATCGTAGAGCGCCGCCGCTGCGGACAGTTGGCGCTCCTTCGCCTCCTGGAGGCGCTCCTCCGCCTGGGCCAGCTGTTCCGTGGCCTGGTTCAGGGCGTCCTGCTTCTGGGTGCACTTGGCAGCAGCCCCCCCTGGAGCACGTAGGGGCACTTCGGCGGGGCCTTGGGCGCGATGGCGAGCGCCTGGGCCTGCACCTTGTCGACCAGGCCGAGCGCCGTGGGGTCGTTGGTGAGACCAGCGGCGGCCAGGTACTTCTGGAAGTAGTCTTGGGCATGATCGCCATGCTGCCCACTTCCTTGACCGCCGCGCTTGCCACCCTTCTGGCTGCCGCCGCTGTCGCCACCGTGGTTGCCTCCGCCAGCGGTGTTCCAGGCGTTCCAGCTCGGGTCAGGGACGAAGCAGGTCTCGCCGCAGACGCCGCATTTGCCGCCCTGGCGCTTGACGCGACAGTTCCAAGCCCAATTCTGGCAGCTCTGGCACCAGGCGAAGCCCCGCACATTGCTATTGTCCTGATACTGTTTCCCGCCCATGGGAATGCTCAACAGAGGTTCCAACCTGGGGCGGACCAGGTTGCTTTTGCCTCCAGAATTCCTGCCTGGACAACTGTTATGGGCCTCCCCACACGACACAGCCTAGCCCAGAGTCCCCCCACGCCCCCCACCGCGTCTGTCATCTGCAACCTCCAGAATATCGTTCTGGACCTCCTTTACGGCCCCCCCCCACACTACAAATCCTGGTCTGGAACCCACCCGCGCCCCCCACCGCGTCTGACACCCGCAGCCTCCAGAATACCCATCTGGACCACTGTTAGTGGACTCCCCGACACGGCAAATCCTGGCCCAGAATCCACCAACGTCCTCTATCGCGTCTGACATCCGCAACCTCCAAATTACCCTTCTGGACAATTTGCTATCGCGCCCCCTACACTACATATATGGCCCGGAATCCGCCCACAACCCCCCGCCGCGTCTCACAGCCCCACTCCTGCAACCCCCTCCTGGGGCCTCGAATTTTAAGAAGCCCCACGCCTCCCACCGCGTCTGACATTCCCACCACTCCAGATCACTTCTGGGACCTTCAAGTTAGGCCCCCCACAGACAACAAATGCTGGCCCAGAACCCACTCACGCTCCCCACAGCGTCTGACATTCCCACCCTTGAACTCCAATCCCCTTCTGGGACCTGTTCTGTCTAGGGTCCCCTCCACACGACAAATCCTGACCCGGAAACCACCCACGACCCCCACGGCATTTCACAGCCCCGCCCCTCCAGAACCCTTCCGGTTTCTGACTCTAGGAAGTGACAAATCCTGGCCTGGAAACCACCCACGCCCCCCACCGCGTCTGACAGCCCCACCCCTTCAAACTCCTTTTGAGACCTCTACCTTAGGGACACCCAACACTGAAAATCATGGCCCAGAAACTCCCCACACATCCCCACCGCGTCTGACATCCCCATCCCTTCAGACTCCTTCTGTGACCTCTGCCTTAGGGACCCTCCACACTTCAAATCAGGGCCCTGAAATCACCCCCGCCCCCCACCGCGTCTGAGAGCCCCACCCCTCCAGACGCCTTCTGGACATCGAGTTTAGGGACCCCACACACGACAAGTCCTGACATGGAAACTACCCACGTCCCCACCGCGTCTGCCTTCCCCACCCCTGCAAACCCTTTCTGGGACCTCTAGTTTGGAGAACCCCACACGACAGACCTGGCCTGGAAACAAGCCACGACCCTCACGGCGAATCACAGCCCCACCCCTCGAAACGCCTTCTGGGACCTTCCAAACGACAAATCCTGGCCCACAAACCATCCGCGCCCCCCACCGCGTCTGAAATGACATCCCCACCCCACCAGACCCCCCCTGGAAACCACCCACGCCCCCCATCGCGTCTGAAGTCCTGACCCCTCCAGCCCCCTTCTGGGCCGTCGAATTTAAGGACGCCACACACGACAAACCCTGCCCCTGAAAGCACCGACGCCCCCCACCTGGTCTGACATCCCCACATCTCCGGACCCCATCTGGGACCTCTACTGTAGGGTCGCGCGACAAATCCTGGCCTAGAAACCACCCACGCCATCCACGCAACCCCAACGCGTCTAACATCCCTACCCCGCCGAACCTCTTTTCTGGGACCTCTAAAGAGCCTTCGAATGACAAATCCTGGCCCAGAAGCCACCCACACTCCCCACCGCGTCTGACACCCCCACCACCCCCAGACCCTTCTGGGACCTCTAAATATTGGGCCCCCCCACACGACAAATCCTGGCCCGGAAGCCACCCACGCCTCCAACCGCGTCTGGCATCCGCACCCCTCAAGACCCCTTGCAGGACCTCTAGTTGAGGGACACACGACAAATCTTGGCCCAGAAACCACAAACGCCATCCACCGCGTTTGACATCCTCACCCCTCCAGAGCCCTTCTGGGTTCTTGAGTTTAGGGACCCCGCGACAAGTCCTGGACTGGAAACCACCCTGGGACCTCTACCTGAGGGACCCCCCCACACTTCAAACCATGGCCGGGAAACCACCCACGCCCCCCACCGCGTCAGTTATCCCCACGTCTCCAGACCCTTTATGGGACCTCTAGTTTAGGGACCCTGCTCACCACATGTAGGAGTCTTCGATCGATTGGTATGTGGTATGTCTGAGCTGGACCCAGCTGCTGCAAACACCCAGCACACGAGACGCCACTGCCCGTAACAAACATATTCAGTCGTGTGTGTGTGTGAGAAAATGTGCATGCGTATGTGTATGTGTATGTGTCTGTGTATGTGTAGGTTTATGTCTATGTGTGTATGTGTGTATGTGTGTATGTGTGTATGTGTGTATGTGTGTATGTGTGTATGTGTGTATGTGTGTATGTGTGTATGTGTGTATGTGCATGTGTATGTGTATGTGTATGTGTATGTGTATGTGTATGTGTATGTGTGTATGTGTATGTGTATGTGTATGTGTATGTGTATGTGTATGTGTATGTGTATGTGTATGTGTATGTGTGTGTGGGTTTGTACTGCGTCGGCAGTGGCCGTACAAGCCATCGCACCGTGAACGTCCTGTGTGGTGGTAGGATCAGCAAGCGCTGTTCTGAGGCTGGCGCTGCGGTTGCAAAACAAGAGATCAGCTCCACGGCCCAACACTCTCTGGGGTCGGCGGCAGAGGCGGCAGCAACCTTTAATTTTCGCTATTCCCCCCCTCCTCCTCCTCCTCCTCCTCCTCCTCCTCCTCCTGCTCCTCCTCTTCCTCTTCCTCCTCCTCCTCCTCCTCCTGCTCCTCCTCCTCCTCCTTCCTCCTTCCTCCTCGTCCTCCTCCTCCTTCCACCTCGTCCTGCTCCTCCAACTCCACCTCTTGGTCCTGGGGACGTAGACATCCGACGTCTTCGTGTAAAAACCAACAAGGCCCAATCATGTGCCGGTGCGCGCACCGCAGGGCGTGGCCCTCTCCTCACACACACAATGCGCACCTCGACGCAGTGTGGACAGGGGGACTGTGGAGCAGGGGCTCCGAAGCGAGCTAAGCTCCCTGTAGAGCCACGACCGGCGAGAGCGGTGCGCCGAACTGGGCGCATTTGCGAACGCGCCCACTGCGCCGCAGCTGGAGCTCCCCAGTGGGTCGCGATCCGCGTGAGGGGTGTGTCGCAGTGGGCGCGGGCCCGCACGCGAACCCGCCCACTGGACAGGCGGAGCTGTCCTTCTGGGGTCACGATCTGCATGAGGGGTAAGCCGAGATGGGCGCCTGCACGACCTCCCCGAGGAAAGATCCGCGTGGAGGAGCGTGCCGAGATGGGCGGGGGCCCGCATGCGAGGCACCAGCTGATGCGCAAATGGAGCTCCCTGAGAGGGGTGCGCCGAAACGGACATGCTGAGAGCAGGTACCGGGAGAGGAGGGGAGGAGAGGCAGGAGGAAGGAAAGGCACGGCGCTGCGGGATCAGAACGAAAACCCAACAACACAAAAGATGTTGAAAATAATTGTGACGATGTGACAAACCGCGACCGGAGCTGTCGACCTCACCGCCGTGCAGGATCTGTCGAAGCGTGTCGATCCGCGGCGGGTTCTGGAGCCCAAACATTGGGAGCCCACAAAAGACGTAAGCGCCCAACCACGTACATGAATACGGCCCCCCAATCCGCGAGACCAGCCTCGTGCTGCGAACGTTCGCGCAAATCCGTACCTCCGAAACCAACATGGATTCATGTACGTGTACGTCGTTGTGTCGCTCTTGAAACAACCGGGCGAACAAACCCGTCGTGCGTTTTAGTCTCACGAAGCCAGGGTCTGAGGGGGAGGTTGAGGAGGGGATCCACGAGAAGCAGGCGATAGCAAGAGCGGAAGAAAGGTTCCTCGTCCGGCACCTGCGGCACGTCCGGAGGCCAATTGAGTTCCTGTGGCCACTCCCAGCTTCTCCGCATCTTCCTCCTGCCTCAACCTCTTCTTCTGCTTCGCCCCCTCCCTTCCTGACTCCTCCCTCCTCCCTCCCTCCATCCCTGCCTTCCACTAATATCCACATCTCTCTTCACCCTTACCCACGTGCTCTTTCCCTGTTTCCAGTGGACGAACCTGCTTTCGCATTGAATAAAGTGGGAAAGGCAATCCACAAGCTCAAATAGGGGAAATCGTCTGGGCACGACGACATACCAGCAGAGCGTTCGAAAGCAGTGTCCCAGACGCCGGGCGGATTACAGTGGATTGCGGAGTTGTGCAACGCAACTTGGGAAGAACAGAAAGTGCCAGAAGCATGGCAGCACGCAAGGGTCAACACGATTTACGAGAACAAAGGGGCCATACATGTATGTGCTGACAATCAGCCAATCAGCTGATTATGCGTGGAAATCAAGCTACTAGCCAACATCCTCCCCCCCGACCCCAACGAGCAGGAGCAGAAAACGGGTGGTCACAGACGCAGTGAGGCCTGTGCGTCCGCCTTGGCATTGGCCTCCACGTCCGCCTTGGTCGTCGCATCTGTGTCCGTGTTGGCTGTAGCCCCTGCGTCCACCTTGGCCTTGGCCTCTGCGTCAGCCTTGCTGGCCTCAGCAGCCGCTTTGGCCTCGGCCTCTGCGTCCGCCCTGGCCTTGGCCTCGCCCTCCGCCTTCGCGGCCGCCAGACATGGAGAACGAAGGGAAGGGAGGAGGACGAGGACCAAAAACGAAGAGATGACGACAGGTAGCCCGAGGAGGAGCAGGAGGAGAAAGGCGAAAGAGGGTGAGGATAAGGAAGAGGCAGAGAAGGACGACAGGTACTAAGAGTAGTAGTGATAGTGGCAGACGTAGTCGCAGCAGTAGTAGTAGTCGTCATCGTCGTCGTCGTCATCCTCGTCGTCGTCGTCATCGTCGCCTTCGTCGTCGTAGTAGTAGCATTGGTAGTAGTAGTATTAGTAGTATTAGTAGTATTATTAGTAGTAGTAGTAGTAGTAGTAGTAGTAGTAGTAGTAGTAGTAGCAGTAGCAGCAGTAGCAGCAGCAGTAGTAGTAGTAGTAGTAGTAGTAGTAGTAGTAGTAGTAGTAGTAGTAGTACCGTGGATGTAAACAATTAACGCGAAACTTATTCATAACACTGGAT